AATTAAAAAAGCAAAATTAAAAATTACATCATATAATTTCTATATACAAATCATAAGTGCCAAATCATCAAGGAAACATAAATAAATACTTGTTTTAAATTAAGGAAAAGCTATAATTGCCATTTCCACATAGACTCTTTCAAAAAACTCTATTTTTTCTAATTAAATTAACCTAGAAGTTTTTAAATGTTTAGAACTAAAAAATTACGTATGAATGTTTAAAAAAGTCCATTAAAGTCCATTAACACATTCCATTAGACTCCTTGTCCCTTTTTTTAAATATATATGGAAAGTTATATATAAAGGAATCTCTACCTTCAAAAGCTGTGTTTGAAAAAAAAGTTTCCGCAGCAAACTTTTTAATCAGTGGTCTCAAGACATAAGTAATACATTTTTTACATTTGTTTATTTTGGTTTTTTATCATTTTGTATTCAATGATTTTTTTTTAAGAAAGTATATTTATAAAATTTTTGGTTTGCAAGTATATAGATTAAAAACTGCCATCCATCTTAAATAATAATTTTAACAGAATTTTACCTTGTATAATTTAAAACTTTTTAATTGAAAAGAAAACAAACAGAACAACATTGATTTGTCAGTTAACAACAATTGAAGAATACAAATTGATGTTATCAGACGCAATAAACAAATTAATAGCTCATTCCTAAGTCAACAAAAAAGAAAGTTGGCAAAAGACAATTGTATTGTCTGAGGTGATTTTGCAGAAAACTAGACATTTGTGATTCAAGATGAAATTTAAAGTTACCGTTGGTGTCAAAGTCAATGCACATTACACCCGGTTGCCCTCGATTTATTAAATGGAAATGATCAGCTTAAAGAAAAATCGCTTTGCTTCATGTCAGAAGATAATGAGCATGACATTGGTTTTGTGTATGAAGTTCAGACGCAAATAGTTAAATATTATAAAGAAGTCATACTAATATTTCAAAGGTTTTTTATTTGTCAGATGGTTGTGCTGCACAGTATAAAAAACCACAAAAATCTTTGCAATATCTATCTCCATAAAGATGATTTTGACATTGATGTAGAGTGGACATTTTTAGCTACAAGTCATGGTAAGTTACCATGTGATGGTATTGGTGGCACTGTAAAATGATAAACTGCAAATGCAAGTCTACTAAGTCCCATAAATGACCAGATATTGAAATGTAATATATTTGACTACTGTACAAATAATTTTACTGGGTTATTTTTTTTCAAGATTAAAAAAAAAGACTTACAGAATTGCGTACTACTTCAAAAAAACGTTTTCAGCTATGTAGAACAATTCCTGGAACTAAAAGTCAATATGACCCAGAGTCTATAGATACTGTTAGCTTTAAATAAACAAGTGCAATTTTTAATATAACAGACATGTTTTCTTTTTCTGGTGTTTAAAGTATTTAACCTAATCAGCAAATTAACATTAATACATTAAAATTTGGTGAATTTATTGTAATGTATCATATTTACTTGTATAAATATTATACTTTTCATTTTATTGGTATGATAAATGAAGTTGACAATATTGAGCAAGTTGTTATGGTAACATTTAAGCACCTGCAGGTCATTTTAACAAAAATGGACCTGCTTCTGTTAAAAGCATGGATAACAGGGTTGTGCCCTGTTATCCATATATGGAATTCCATATACATGCAGATCAAAATCCTTATATTTTTTAATAGATCAACAGGGCTTAATTTAGTTTTTTATAAGGTCCTGGACAAAATGTCTGACCAAAAGTTATTTTGGTCGGACATTGTCCGATCAAATTTTTGAAATAAAATTTAAACAAATAATTTTCACCAATATTAACATATATTCATATTTGTTTAGTTAAAAGGAACACAGGAAAAAGATAGTTCTTTAAATGCCGAGAGTAAAAAAGTACTGCAGATAGGTTTTTTTAGACTAGCTTCTGGCGTATCTGTGTTTTACGGAACCCAATTATCCAATCGAAATATGTTATGTTTTCCCAGTTTATTTTATTTTAGGCTAGTGAAGTTGTAGTTTTTTTTTAATATTCAGAATTTTTATCATCGTAGATCTTTGTATTTTAAATGAAATAGTTTAAATTCAATACTGCGCATTTTTTTAGATAGACTTGAATTTTTATTGAGTTTTTTTCTCTCGAAAACCTTGTTAGTTTACATTGAATTGCATTACTGGCTTATGAAAGTTATGTAAATTTTTTTACTTAAAAAAATATAATATGCTAAGTGTCAATTTTGCGCATAAGCGCCAAAAAAGTATTTAAATGGCGTTCATGTAACTATTTTTATCAATAATAAAAACGGCAAGAAAACAAGTTTGTTATAGTAATATAGTATAATAATGTTTTTAATATATTAGATATTAAGATAAACATATTATTTTTAAACTTGATATAAAAAATTTTGATATAAAAAACTTCGCTTTTACTTATTTAAAGGTGGTTAAATCAAACGGAATATGTATAATATTTACGGGCTATTATTTAATTTAAAAATTCCACGCGCTGCATGTCACTAAAATTCGATCAATTCAACAAAGAAAATTTTATGAGTTCTACAGGTTATTATTTATCTACTTTTCAAAAAGGCACTCCTTCTTTGGCAGACAAGTTTTATAAAGATAGAACTTTTTAATCTATATATATATATATATATATATATATGTATATATATATATATATATATATATATATATATATATATATATATATATATATATATATATATATATATATATATATATATATATATAATAAAGATAATACAAATAAAGATGTAGTTTAAAAAATGAATAATAAATAAAGAATTGAAAAACTCGAGTAGAACCAGGATGCCACCGAGAAACCGCTCAAGCTAAAATAGAATGATTTGGATGTTAATATTAAATGTATATTTTCTTAATGTTTTTTAAAAATATTCCATCGATGAGATCTCAGCCTCTAAAAAAATACATTTTCTTTTATTATCAAATTTTTCAAACTGCTAGCTTTTCTTTGGTTTTTGGTGTCCACGGCGTTTGCAGTAATCAATCGAACATACTTTGACTTTTGCGATCGTTTTAAATAAGCATTAATTTTAAATTTAATAACATAACAATAAAACTGTTAAAGAACAGTCATTAAAACTACAATTAATAACAGCGCTTTTTTTGGGAATGAATGCCTCCATTATCAACATATTTTATAAGTTTGTCTAATAGTTTACATTAAGTTTAAATTTGTCAATTTCAAATCAACGAATAAAATTTTTTTAAAGAATTAAAAATCTTGCCGGACAAAATGTCCGATGACTTTGTAAATTGATCGGACAATCTGAGGTTTTAGCCGGACAATGTCCGATGTCCGACTGGTAAATTAAGCCCTAGATCAATGGAAATAGAATGGTCTGTAATATATATATATATATATATATATATATATATATATAATATATATATATATATATATATATATATATATATATATATATATATATATCATATTATCATATATATATATATCATATATCATATATATATATATAAGTATATATCATATTATCATATATATATATATATATATATATATATATAAGTATATATCATATTATCATATATATATATATATACATATCATATTATCATATATATATATATATATATATATATATATATATATATATATATATATATATATATATATATATATATATATATATATATATATATATATATATATCCTTATAGTGTAGTCGAAAGAGTCGTTTAATGTAAAAAAAGTCTCTTTCGACTACAATTTTAATTACCTCGTCTCTTAAGCTGTTTTTGATTGTCATCGAAATGTCAAAGCAATTAATTTATGCGGAAGTACATGAAATTTAATTGTTTTTTAAAAATTTTTTAAAAAACCGCAATTATAACGACTAGAAAGTTTTTTTTAATTAGTGGTGTTTTTGTTATTGATTTAATAAAAAACATTTTTAAAACATGAGTAAATGTTGCTACATCGACTATCTTATAGCCTGACTTGCAACGGAGTGCTGCTACATCGACTGACAAATAGCTTGACTCGCAACGGAGTGCTGCTACATCGACTGACAAATAGCCTGACTCGCAATGGAGTGCTGCTACATCAACTGACAAATAGCCTGACTCGCAAGGGAATGCTGCTACATCGACTGACAAATAGCCTGACTCGCAAGGGAGTGCTGCTACAACGACTGACAAATAGCCTGACTCGCAAGAGAGTGCTGCTACATCGACTGAGGGTTTGGTTTGGCCAGGCAGTCTATCAATTAAAAAAAAAAATTTAATTTTTAAAACTTTTTCTGGTCTGGTTTATTAACGCGCTCTTTAAAACTACAGTTTATGAGAAACTTTTTTTGATGCCATGCAAGAGACATGCAAGAGTATATATATATATATATATATATATATATATATATATATATATATATATATATATATATATATATATATATATATATATATATATATATATATATATATATATATATATATATATATATATATATATATATATATATATATATATTAGTTTCTTGAGTATTAAAAACAGGTATATAACAAAATGTTTAAATTTATATAAATTACATAGGAATGCAAATTATATCATAAATACAGTTAATAATAATATTTTACACTTATGATTTTTACACTTCTTTTTACACTTCATTGGATTAGTCAAAAAGTGTTTACAAAGTTACAAATTTTTTAGTACAAAATCAAATATTTTTAAAATTATGTGAATTGAAACCTCTAAATAAACATAGCAATTCTGAGGGAACAAGAGGGGCCTAGTCTATATCTGCTAAAAGTAAAACAGTCATATTTCAGGATCTTCTTTGAGCCAGAGGCTAAAATTTTCAAGGAATTCTTATTATACTAAGTACTCTCAACTGTATAAAAATCAGCAAAATCTGAGATGTATATCATGGTGACATGACTTTGATCATTTGACATGACATGGAATTACCCAGCAGCCTTATTGTTATTATTTTTTATTTAGAATGACTTGTCTATGGTGAACCAGTTTTCTGATTTTCCTTTATCTTCAAGAACTCTCAATGGTAAATATTTTTTTTATCTATCTTAAAATATACCAATCCTATGCAGAAAAAAAAACTAACAACCATTATAAGAAACAGTATTTAAATATATATTATCTTTATTATTAAAAAGTTGTTTATTTAGTATCTTGTTTATTCAGTTGATTTATGTCAATTCAGCTGCAAAGTTGGTCCATTAAATTTGCTTTAAACTTTTAAAAGATTTAATTGTTATTTCTCATAAAATATTTTAGAAATAATGTATTAATATTAAAATAAATTGAATTCAATTAACATTTAATAAAACATTTTAATCCTTCCATTATTTTTTTCTTGAGAGAAAGAATGAATATTTTTAATACTGCATAAAGTTGGAAGGAAAATCAATATCAAGTTCCCTGACTTTTATTCAACCCTCGTTGTTTACTTAAAAACCTTAAAAACCTTAAAAAAAAAAACGCACATTATACCACTTTTGTCTTTAAAGGGACTACCAAGTCAAGAGTCATGTTGTGTTCATATTAAAGAGAATGTTAAAAAAAAATGTCTGAGCAAATTTATTTTGATTAAAACTAATTAATAAATGTATACCAAAAAAAACAAATCTTGTTGTTTTAGTCGAAGCTCGTCTTCTCCATTTTCTCTGGTATTTTGAGTATGTAAAATAAACGCGATTTTCCAGGCGCATTATACAGACTTGATAATTTATTCAAGCGCGTTTAATTCATAGGAATTTAGAGCATGACGTCATTGGAAACATTTTAGAAATTCTTTAAAAATTTTACTATTAAATTTTACTCAAATAGCTAACTATAGTTACTTATTTTATTAAAAGTTTATTTTATTAATTGTTCGTTAGTTTTTTACAAATCTAACGAACAGTTAATTAAACCAAGCTCTAAGAAAAGATATAAAAATTAAGAATATACTAATAAAATATATAATTTGTAATTAACTTTCAAAATTTCAACAATTTAAAAAATATATATTATAAAACATTTATTTTGGTAAACAAATGATAATAGTTTAAAAGTTTTACGGCTTTACAGATGTGGCTCCGAGAATGAGCCATAATATTAAAGCAATAGTTCATTTGATAATATATTCTTAAAAAAATTTATGCTAGATATCTCAAAACGCAACAAATAGTAAATAATACAATTTTTAAAACATTTCAACAGAATACTCTAGAACTTTATTTCGCTTAGTCAGCGTGTTTTTTGAACCAATAGAATTAGTTTGTTTGCAAATTTGGCAGGTTTTTAGTGTTTGCAAATATTCTTTTTATTCTTCCGCAAGATGTTTTAAGAACATTCAAGTTAATTATGTTTCCATGTATGTCTGTAAGAAAAAAATTAATATATATTAATTTTTTAATTTTTAAGCCCCCGCCATAATATATATTGAATGTTTTAATGGAAATATAAATAATGAAATAAGATCACCTCAATACCAAAAAATACATTTTTGAAAATCGGAGAAAAAATGCGTTATTAGTTTTTTTTTTAATATTTACAAAATAAATTAATAAAAGTGCATTATTATTTAGGTTAAAAATTATTTTATCTAATATTTTGAAAGAAAAATTTATAACAAAAGAAATCAAAATACACGTGGTCTAGACGATTATTTAAAAAAAGTTGCGCAAATAAAATACTATTTTGTTTTTTATTTTATTTTTGTTTTTAATTTTATTTTGTTTTTAATTTTATTTTGTTTTTAATTTTGTTTTGTTTTTAATTTTGTTTTGTTTTTAATTTTGTTTTACAAACACATTTTAGAACTTTAAAATATAATAAAAATGAATATGATTTGGAAATTGTATGTCAAAAATAACAATTGGTGTTTTAAACAAACAAACAAAAAACTATGACGTCATGCACTAAAACTCCTATGAATTAAAAGCGCTTGAATAAATTATTAAGTCTGTATAATGCGCCTGGAAAATCACGTTTATTTTACAAACTCAAAATACCAGAGAAAACGGAGAAGACAAGCTTCAACTAAAACAACAAGATTTGTTTTTCTTGGTATACATTTATTAATTAGTTTTAATCAAAAAAAATTTGCTCAGACGTTATTTTTTAACATTTTCTTTAATATGAACACAACATGTCTCGGGACTTGGTAGTCCCTTTAAGTATATTTTTGACTGTTTATTTTACATTATTTTTTGTTTTAAAAATATGAAAAAATACTAGCTTAAGTTTTCACGAACATTTAACTATTTTTATTAAAATTTTTTAACCCAATTTAAACACGTTTTTCACTACATTTTACATTATTTTATGTTTTAAAAATATGAAAAGATACAAGCTTTAGCATTATGGTTTCACACTTGTAACTATTTTTATTAAAATTTTTTAACTCGATTTAAACACGTTTTAGCCAGGATATTTATCTTATCTAATTGCTCACAATAAAAATACAAGCTTTTATGGACCATTTAAATTTTGTAAAAAAAAAATAAATATCTTTATTAAGAATATTAAATTAGAATATCAAACAAGGGCACTGAGAAAAAAATTTTTTTTACACAAATTAACTTAATTTGTTATTGTTTTAAAATATTTTTGTAGTTTAGATTTATTTATCTGAAACAAGTTTCGCAAAACGTTTGCTAAATAACAACAAGCTATCTTGGTTCCTTTAAATTCTTGCACCATTGACAATTTAATTTGTATTATTAAAATTTTTTATTTGTTGTATTAAAATGTATTTTTTATTTGTTGTATTTGTTTCATGTGAATAAGAATAATAGCAATTTTTCTAATTTTATTTTCATATTTAAGGTTTAGTTGAATTTATCTATTTAGCAATGGTGAAATATTTAACATAAGTTAGATATTTACATATAATTTTTATCCTTATATTTGGAAGCATAAGTATTTGGAGTTTTTATCTTTATATTAAGTAGTATGCACATTTGAGAATGCAAAAATCACTCCATGTCACTACAATATAACTAATATGATTTGAGGATATGTCAAAGTGTAATGTCATATCTTCAACTAAAAATTAAAATTGAAATCTTGTAAAAAATAAAAGTATTTTAGACTCTGAACTGATGTAATAAAATTTGTTTTTGAGCTAATTCATTTTTTAAAAAGCAGATTAAGGTTTTAAATTTTTTTGAATTAAGCCAGTTTTTATTATTTAATTAAAGCAATACAATTAATTATTATTAATTTAAATTTGTATTTTATTATTTAAGTTTTTGTTCGACAACTATAAATTTTAACAAATATTTTTTAAAAACCCCTTTTAAATTTATTTTTACAAAAATTTTAAATTAATAGTTTTAATTTTTTTTTCTGATTTTAAACTATTATTTATTAGTTTGTATTTTACCTTGTTTATTAGTTTATTAGTCTGTATTTTTACCTTGTAAACATATTTACGGAGTCTAATTAATAAAATTTTAATAATAATAATAATGCCAACCCTCGGTATTAGGGCTTTATAAACCTAACTGCCGACCTTAAAGTGTTTGAGGTGCTCTTTTTGCTTTAAATATTTTAACCTTTACGGAACAATTATGATAGATAGCAGTTTATTTTAAGTTTATTATTCTATCATTTAGTTGAGCTGTTGATATACAAAGCCCTTTTTTTTCTCGAATTAGGTTTTTAATATGTGAAGTAACCCAAGGTGGTCTGAATGTAGAAAATGTGGTGATGATGCAGCCATCATAAGGCTTCCTAATTAAGCTGTGAGCTAATTTAAAGGATTCAGCAATATATTATATTAATTTAACATCATTTAGTCAGTGTATAATCTAGATAACTATATGTTTATTGTTAACTTTTAAAAATACCAATGAAAAGTTTTATAAAACTAATTAAATTCATGAGAGATAAATACATCAGTAATAAAGACAGCTACACTGCCACTTCAACGTCTGTTTCAGCAATTTTTTATTTAAAGTGAGTTATTGTTTTAATACAGTAGCTTCACTATTGTACTTTACTTTAAAAACTTATGACATCATACTTACCTCTCAACTAAATTGTATATTTATGAGTTAATACAGTTTGTTTTAATTTTTTAAATATAAATAAAAAGCTATTTGAAGTATTATTCAAGATTTTTATAAAAAAAAAAAAAAGTCAGAAAAACAGTTGGTAGTTCTTAGCTATACAATAATAGCAAAAGTTGCAAATGTTGCTGTTTACATACATGCATATTATTTTTAAGAATGACAACTTTTGAAAAATTTTGAAAATTTTGGCTTGGGCCCCTAATAATTCCTAATAATTCTGTAAGCATAAAATTAAAATATATTAGGTATTTTAAATTTTCTTTCTAGCTCCGGCTATCAAACTCTGCTAAATCTTATAATTTTGCCAGGGTCGAGGCCAGGTTTGAAAAAAAACTCATTTTTAGCCGGGGCCCCTGTCATTTACTAATGCCACCTTGGTATTTTTATTTTATTATTTGATCAATAGTATATATTCTCTTCAATGGAATCATTTATTACAAAGTTTATCACTAGATATTTTATTACTCAAAAAATTGTTTTTTAATAATCTTTTTGAAAGATTAATTACTTGATTGCTTCTTTAAAAAATTTCAAATGCAATATATATAAACAATTGTTTATTTTTATGGTGATTGCAAAGATTATTATATATATTGCAATTTTTTTCTATAAGGGAATTGTCTGTTGCAACAATTTTTGTCTTTTTTCAAAGTTTGTTATTTTAGCCACTGCAACCCAGTTAAGCATATCAAATATGCAGATATCATATTCCTGCCGTGACTTTTGAAGATATTTATTGAATGATATTGTAGTAATGTTGAATGTTAGGTTCATTTCCTTCTGCTCACAGACTTATTTAGAATTAATGATTGTTGTATCCTGTGGAATAAAATGATAGAAACTTCTTGTAGCAGTTAAGGTTTTATTATTGAATTAAGTAGTCAAACATCTTTTAAAAATAAGAAGTGAATGCTAAATATGTTAACTTTATAAAGTTTAAACATTTCTTCAACATTCAGAATTTGCTTTGGACATGTAAGACTAGCACTGGAAATTAGTCTAATTTATAAAAAACTTGCTATCCTAAAAAGCCATGAATCAGTAACCAAGATCAAAATTTGAATATTTTTTATTTATTTATTAAAATTCTTTATCTTACTTTTTTTTAAATTAAATTATGCTACCATCATTACCGAAGATAGACTATAGATGAATTACAATCGCCATTTTGATTTAATTCAAGTTCATATAAAACAAATATCATATTCTAAGGGTGGAATGCAAGAAGCGAATATGAGTCAAGCTCAACTTGAACTTTACATTGCAACCAATAGCGACAGAGTATGGGTTTTCCCTTTCAAAAAATACTCTGTCGCTATTGGTTACAAAGTAAAGTTCAAGTCGAACTTGACTTTAGTTTGCTTCTTGCATTCCACCTTAAATCTTCGAAACTATACTGGTACTAATTTTCAGTTTGATCATATGTATAGTTGTACATTAATCCATAAAATTAAAACAACAGCAAAATCAAGACAAAATCATGAACAAACAAAAATAGTTGATTTTAAAGTAACAATATCTTAAAAACTTATTTGTTATCAGTGCTGAAAATTTTTTATCCAGTCTATATGATGTAGGTGACTATTTCTACTAAGTAAAAATACTTGCAATGCAGTCTATATGATGTAGATGACTTTTTCTACAAAGTAAAAAGAAAATTTAAGACTGAGTTACAAACCTAGAAAATTTTCCCACTTTCTCATGAAATAACTTTTGCAAAAGTTAGTAGTAGCAATGTTTCTGTGAAGGCATTTGTGGTAAAGAATTTTTTACTAAATAAGCTTTTCCTATAGAAACAACTAAATAAAACTTCAAATTTTTTTTAGTTGTTTGAACATAAAAACTTGGAATTAAAAGGCGTAAATTGTTTTTTTTAATAACCCTTCTAATGCAAATTTTTTAGACAATGTTCATTGTCAAGAAACTTATCTATTATACATGGATTATCTTTTTCTGGATATTTCTGGAATTCCAGGTTTTTCTCAACTTTTAGTTCTTTCAGACAGCCAAAGCGTTTTTCATACATATATAAGTTTAAGAATATGTTTTTGTAATATATTTGTTTTTTAAGCTTTTTCACTCATCACTCATACTGTAATTAAATAGAGTTCGAAACAATTCAGCTAAAAGCAAATTTAAGGGAAAATATATTCCGGATATTTTATCGAAACAATTTACCGGATTTTTAAAAAATTACTCAGATGATCTATGATATTATTGCAATAAATTGAAAAATCAAATGAATAAATAATAAATAAGGGAGGGGAAGGAGAATGTTAATTTGATCCCTGTTAAAAAAATAGTAAAAGATTTTCTAAATTTTCGAGACAAACATAATTTAGTACACTCATAGCTGACTTAAAGTAAGTTTTTATTTTTTGTTGTTTTTTAAGTATTATTTTCTTGTTTATTTTGCCATGAATTATTTCAAGTTTTTTTTTGGATGAGCTTTTATGTGTGCAGAGTAATCCATTCTGCTTTATCACAAACCCTGCTTGTTGTTTGTCTGAACCTTCAGTTAATATATATGATGTTTGATTACACCTAGCTTTTTTTAATATCGAACCTTAATTCTTTACAATCATACAATAAGATCTTAAATTATACAATCAATTAGATAAATCAAATTTACAATCGTAAGACCTTGCAATCAAATATGGCCAATACAGTCCTTAATGATTTGTTATATATAATATTTTTCATGCATATAATATTGTATTTTGGTTTATTTGCAGGTTTAGAGAATGCTGGTTATACAAAACCAACAGCAATTCAGAAGGATGGAATTTCACTTGCTTTGCGAGGATTTGATATTTTAGCAGCAGCAAAAACTGGATCAGGAAAAACTTTAGCATTTATTATACCGGTAAGTTGAACATAAAGTGAGATTTTTTCTAGACCTAAATTTGTATATTTTTAACATTAAAAACTAAATCAAAATCAAATGTATATGGTTTTTGTAACTATATATATATATATATATATATATATATATATATATATATATATATATATATATATATATATATATATATATATATATATATATATATATATATATATATATATATATATATATATATATATATATATATATATTATATATATATATACACACACACATACTAACAATTAGTTAATTTGTTGTAATCTTTTGTTTTAATTTATTGAAGTGATTAGATTTTACGTAAAACAAGAAATCAATAGAATTATAAAATATATTTACTTAGTAAAAAATTTTTTTTTTCAGATTGAAAAATTCACTGTTTGAATATTTACATAGTATTTTTTTAAAAAGATTTTAGAGTTACTATGGCGAAACAAATGGACTAGTAATGATGGTTTAGGTGCTCTTGTTATTTCACCTACACGTGAACTTGCTTTTCAAACCTATGAAGTGTTACGTAAAGTTGGTAAAAATCATGACTTCTCTGCTGGTTTAGTTATTGGTGGAAAGGTGAATTTTATGATATTTATAGCTTGTTTGTTTTTTTTGTATATTTTATACCAACAATGCTATTTATAGGCTCAATATTTAAAATTAGTGCTAAATGTTCAACAGGTTGAAGCATATTTCAGAATGTTTTTTTATTTTTATCTTGAAAATTGTTGTAGCTAAACAATAAATATAAACATAAAATAAAATATAAATAAAACTAAAATATTCAGGAAAATATTTGTAATAACTTTTTATTAGTTTTTTTAATTAAAATAACTAAAAAACAAATAAAATAAAGGCACTAATACATTTTAAAGAAAAAAAGTAGTTTCTTGACCATCTTAAAAATTACAAATAATAAACGTTCCAAGTTTGGTATGGTAATTCTATTAAAGTCCAAAATTCATTTGTTATATGGTTTTTGAATATGTCTAGCTAGTTCAGATTTTATTGCCCTTTAAACTTAAATGGTAATTTTCTTGAAAAAATATTCAATAATATTATTACAAATAAATTCTACACAAATAAAGAACATTTCTTAAATATTCAAACCTAATATTATTAAAAATGAATTCTACACAAATAAAATTTCTTAAATATTCGAACCTAATTGTTCTAAATGAATTCTACACAAATAAAGAACATTTTTTAAATATTCGAACCTAATTATTCTAAACTAAAAATATCATGTTTCTAATTTTTTAAAAATCTTAAAATTAGAAAAATAAAATCAAAGAATAAAAATCAAAGTATCTATAAACTCCTTAAAAGCAACCAGAACTATAGGAATCTGATAATCTAGCGTAATTTAAAACAGACTTTGTTCTTCTACTTACAAATATGTTTTTAGAACAACGAGCTCATAAAATTGAATGAAATACTTTATTTGAATTTTGGGTGTGACCATGTAAACATTTTCTAAGTAAATGGTTGCCAGAAAAATCTTTGAAAATATTATTATTAAATTGTGAATAAAAATAGGCAATTTTATATTGTTACTGTCAGTGTTTGTACCTTTCACATTTTCTTGCTGCTATTTGCACCATGAATATTGGTCCCTTGGATACATAGATTGACAAATGTTATTATAACTAAAGTTGTGTTATGCCACAATACTGCAGGCCTTGTTTTAAAGCATTTTTCGTAGAGGGGTTTACGTACGTCTTAAGCGATTTTACAAAAGCAGTAAGCAATTTTGGTTAAGGGACTATCATTTTTTAACTTTTAAATTATTCTATAAGCGGTAATATAAAAGAAGTAATTAATTTTTAAAAAATCACATTAACTTTTAGATGGCGTTTATGTAAAAATATTTATTACAAATTTTTGAATTTTTTTAAGCTTAAAGCAAAGATCATAAAAACCTAATTTAGTTCTGATAAAAAATATATAATTTAATTTAAAACTAGTTTAATAAAAATATATAATTTTATTCTGATAAAAAATATGTATAATTTAACATTATAAATTAACATTGACCCCCTCAGATTTTGATGAAAATTGGTGGGTTGGGGTATATCAATGAGAAAATTCCCGAAAATTTCAGCTTACAATCTTTTGTGGTTCATGAGGTATCGTCATTTGAAATTTCTGATTTTTCCGAAAATTAAAATGTTTTGTTCATACTTTGAAGCTCTGTATTTTAAAAAGGAAATTTTAGAAAACCTTCTAGTTTTTTTATTTATATACAACTGTAGGCTTACTTTGTTAAAACTTTGACATTGAATTTTTTAATATCATATTTCATCCATAATGGCTGCCTAAAAAACCTAAAAAATTGTTTGCAGATATAAAAAGTTGATTTTTGATGGGTCAATATACAAAACTAGCTACTTAAGAGGTGAAAAGACATATCTTTTTAGTTTCTATATATGGTAGGCTTCCTAATTTTTAAAAATTTGCTGATAAGATATGATTCAGTAAGAAATAATAGACTCCTAAAAATGGCTCCAGGGAAAACTTTAAAAATTGTACCTTCCCTTTAAACCACTGGTAACCTAGGATCAACACTGGTTTTCGTTATAATTTTTTTTTTTTACTGATTTAACAGACTTATATAAAGTGAATTCTGAAAAAAAAAATTAGTGGGTACTCATGGGGAAGTGACAAAGTCAGAGCAATGAAGTTGTCACAAAATGCATTAAAAACAATAAAAATATAGATATTGATGTACTTTAGTTTTCATTATCTACTGCAATGCAAAAAAATATACATATATATATATATATAAAAGTATATCATAATCATTACTAGAGCTATAAACTAAAATTGAATTAAACTCAGTTTTTCAATAGGCTTTGTTGTCTCTTCCCCTGTCAATTTACTTTTTAACATGCATATTTTTGCACAGAACTTATCTTAAAAGTAATTTGTTATTGAAGGTTTCACTAATTTTTTTCAAATGCATGAAGTGTCTTGATGCACAAAATAAGAATTGAACATACACATTCAAAAGCTGTGAAATGATAAATAAGTTATTGGGTGTACTTTTTATCTTTATTTTATATATAAAATTTATTATTTTGTATATAAAATACTTAAATATTTTTGCACAGAACATTCTTATCATAGGAAGAATTTTTTTCTAATTATAATGATTTTCTTCTATTATAATTAATTTTCTTAGTTAGTTATTGAAAATTTTACCTTAAGCAGTGTGTCGTATAAAAGCTGTGACATTCTGCCCAACACATATTTGTTTTCATATCACTTATTTGCTTACTATTTCATATTCTGGTTATAAGTTTTGTATAATTTTTCCCAAAGCATTCACTATTCCACCCTTCCCAATTTATTTGATTACCATGGTTTAAATTTAGGTTGTAGATTATACCAAGTGATAAGAGTTATTTGATTTGTCATCATAATACACAAGTTTATTATGTAATATATATTATGTAATAAAAATATTATTATATAATAAAATAGCAACATAAAAATTGAATCATTCAAATTTGCTTTAATAAAAAATTTGGATTGATCAAATTAATAACAGTTTTGCTATGTTGTTATATTATAAATACAATTGTTTTTATAAATACAAGTACAAATGTAGTATTTTAATTTTTTCATGAGCTGATAGTTCATAGCATCTACCAGTTGCTGGTTGCACTTTTAAAGATGAAATTTTGCATGTGTAATTAGAACTCAGCAAATATATTCTCTTTGTGGCCAAGTAAAAGTGTTTGAGGAAATAGACTGCTTCATGAACTTTATATCTTGATTTTCTTCAGATATTTCCACAATATAACCTAAAAACCATTTTTCATCATAAACACATGCTATATAAATTCCTGGCGAAAGAGAGGCAAGTGGAATTGTATAATTCTGCTGAATTGTTGAAGTATTTAAAATAGTAAGCACATTGTCAAATGACACCTGTCTCATCTGTAAAGTCGTTAATGATTTTGGTATAAAACAATGGTGGTTTCTTGTTTCTGGAAATGTTAAACAAGTAGCATAACATTCTTCTAATTTAAAATTTATGCTATGTAATGTAACTGTATTATTTGAAATGTATTGAAAATGTATTCCTTTAATATTTTGTCTACACCAATCCTACATTTTCTCAGATAAATTGATAGGATCAGTTAGTGATTGTAAACTTGCCCTTGCTACATTGCGTGGAAAGAGTGCTTGTGATCATGTTGGGGGCACTGTCAAAAGATACAAGTCTTTTGACAGTGCCCCCAGAATGATCAAAAGCATTCTTCATGCGATGTAGCAAAAAAATGCCATTCTGCAGAAAACTCAGGGTAAATAATTTTTTTTTTGAAATTGTACAATACTTTTAAAAAAAAAAAGTTTTGCTAATACATATAATAATAATAAACTTGCAAGATATGGGTGTTGTTGTAAAAGTTTTAGCTTGTCAAATATAATGATTGTGTTTAAGTATGAAAAATATTAATCTCATTGATGAGATGGAAAGAATATAGAAAAGTCAGGGAACTTAAAAAACTCAACTCAGGGGAAAGCGCTCTTTACTCAGGGGAAACTCAGGGAAAAACTTTTAAAATTATAGTGGCAACCCTGTAATGTCAAAAATTTTTATAGTCTAAAATATCTGGTATTTTGAATTCTAAAAGTTTGGCATTCTGGTGGTACTCACAAACGCATACTGAGTGGAGACCAGAAGTACCTCCAACAGGAATACACCACTTTGGTCTAAGTTCGCAGAACTTAGAAAATCCAATCTTGACATCTAAGGAATTTTTAACAAACTCTAAATAATTTTAACAAACTCGAAATAAAATTCTTTTATATTAAGTAATAGTAGTCTTTTTTGAAAATCTTTTACCATCGACTTGGATTGAGACTGCTTTTTTCCTGGTCACATTCAAGAGTATTCATCTGATTGGTAGAATTCATGAAATTGATTTTTTACTTTCTCACTAATAGGTCTTCCTTCTTTTTTATTTTTCTCACTAATAGCTCTTCTTTCTTGCCATGTATTTGTTTCAAATGTCTAGTAGTTTTTATCATTCTTTGGGAAGCAGAAAAATAATTTTGTGTATAGTCAATGTTCCAACTCTCAGGAACCCAAGTTAGTAATTTAAGTTTTTCTGATTTTGAAGAAATATCAAACTATGCTTTAATTAATTCCATTAGTGAGTCCAAGTCTTGTTTACTGTCGCAACATAGCTCTTTTGTTTTTGGTTCATCATTAATTATATCGGGAGAAACTTCTAAAACAGTTGCTATTTACTATTTGGTGGCAGCATGAATCTTGTTCATCTTTCTTTTTGTATAGCTGACGCTGTCTTTATGGGCTACTAGTTTTAGAGGTGAACAACCAAGGCTATTAATGCTTAAATTAAAGTTTTCTTTTGAAATACAAATCTCATTTAAATCATTGCCTTTATTTTTACATAAATCGCTTTCAAAATCTTTTTTGTTAATTTTTAAATACAATATTTTACGACATTCTGTACAAAGCTTATGACCAGGTAAAAGTGTAAAGTAAAGGTGTAAAGTAAAGTTTCCATGAGTTTTGACATAATTAAATACAAAATAATAAATTTTATATATAAAATAAAGATAAAAAGTACACCCAATAACTTATTCATCATTTTCACAGCTTTTAAATGTGTATGTTCAATTCTTATTTTGTGCATCAAGACACTTCATGCATTTGAAAAAAACTAGTCAAACCTTCAATAACAAATTTCTTTTAAGATAAATTCTGTGCAAAAATATGCATGTTAAAAAGTAAATTGACAGGGGAAGAGACAACAAAGCCTATTGAAAAACTGAGTTTAATTCAATCTTAGTTTATAGCTTATTTCTAGTAATGATTATGATATACTTTTATATATATATGTATATTTTTTTGCATTGCAGTAGATAATGAAAACTAAAGTACATCAATATCTATATTTTTATTGTTTTTAATGCATTTTGTGACAACTTCATTGCTCTGACTTTGTCACTTCCCCATGAGTACCCACTAATTTCTTTTCAGAATTCACTTTATATAAGTCTGTTAAATCAGTAAAAAAAAATTATAATGAAAACCAGTGTTGATCCTAGGTTACCAGTGGTTTAAAGGGAAGGTACAATTTTTAAAGTTTTCCCTGGAGCCATTTTTAGGAGTCTATTATTTCTTACTGAATCATATCTTATCAGCAATCTACAGTTGTATATAAATAAAAAAATTAAAAGGTTTTCTGAAATTTTTTTTTAAAATACAGAGCTTCAAAGTATGAACAAAACATGTTTTTGCTAACAAAGTTTTAATTTTCGGAAAAATCAGAAATTTCAAATGATGATATCTCATGAACCACAAAAGATTGTAAGCTGAAATTTTCAGGAATTTTCTCATTGATATACCCCAACCCACCAAGTTTCATCAAAATCTGAGGGGTCCATGTTGGAATCCCAAAGTTTCAGTCCATTTAGCATGGAATGACCCAGCTATTATTTTTTTTATAAATGATATACAGCGATATAATTTTAATAGTAAAATAATAAACTTTTAATAAATAAAGTAAATAAGTTAATGTAATTTTTTAATTTATTACTTGCTAATTTTTTTTAAATAAAAAATCATTTTTAGTTGCACAGCCGCAATTAGAAATTTAAGAAATAATAATTTTTTTATTAAGCATTTTTTATTTAAAACAAGGCCTATACTGCCCTAATGCTTAAAAAAAAAATTTAAGACATTTTAGGACCTAGAACATTGTTTTGGATTAGAAATACTGACTATACTTTTATATTATTTTTGATAGTTTTATAAAAACATTTTAAAACATGATAATATTGAGAATTTGTTTTTTTTTAGGATTTAGAAGAAGAACAGCGTAGGATCCTTTGCACAAACATAATCATTTGTACACCTGGTCGATTACTGCAACATTTTGATGAAACAGCAAATTTTCATTGTGATAGCTTGAAAGTTTTAGGTTTATTAAAAATGTTCTTTGCTTTTTTTTTTTTTTTTTCTTTATACAATTACTTAATAGATTGATAAATAAAGTGCATATTTTTTTTTAGTGTTAGATGAAGCAGATAGAATTTTAGACATGGGTTTTGCTACGACCATGAATGCTATTATTGAAAATTTACCTAAGACACGACTTACACTTTTGTACTCAGCTACTCAAACAAAGTACAAAATTTTTGGCGCTTTTATTTTTTTATGAATTTTTTTTTATCTTTAGAAATGTTATTTATTTTTGTTCTAATTAAGGTCTGTACAAGACCTGGCCAGATTAAGTTTACAGGTTAGTATTTTTCTATAAATGTCTTTTCTTTTTTATTAATTTTTCTACTTATTTTTAATTTTATCTTTAGTTATTTTTGTTCTATATTTATTTTTATTATTTAACATATTTTCTCATTATTTAGAATCCTGAATATATTTCAGTTCACGAAAATGCAAAATACTCTACTCCGATTCGTTTGTCACAGGTAAATACAAATTTTAATGTTATTTTCCTCTCATTTTTATATCAAAATGATTATTCTCAAGGTACAAAGAACATTTAAAGTCTGTTAGTTTTAGTTCTTTAGTCAGTTTGATTTAATTTAGACTTTACTTTTTATACTATTTTTACTTATATTTTAAACATGTTAAGTTAAAAAACACTATCTTACAACTTGTGTTTTTACAAGAAGTTCACAAAGTGTCTTCAATAATAAACCTTTTGTTTTCTGTACTATATTAATTATTGCAATATTGTTGATATTCTTATATCAACGACTTCATAATGATGAGTGACTATATGGATCAGAGGCTTTACTGTTACTGACTCTTCTACTTTATGTTTTTAGATTTATTTTCAGTACTGACCTCATATGGAAACCATATATACAATCAATTACAAAGCATCTATTAAAATTACCTCTTTTTATTATACTTGTCATTTTATTACTTCTGATTCTTTAATTCTATAAATATGTTATTTGTCTTTGAGTGATGGCCCCTGGGTAGAAATCTTTCGTCTCCCTATTGACAAATGTGCTTCTTACATAACTTCGTGGATTCAGGCTGGTATGGAATCCTTTATTCCCTCTTGACGATTCCAGGTCAAGCCTCACTCTTCTCCATGGTTTTCCTCACATTGTGCTGCTGCAATTGCCAATCGAAACCATTACTTCCATATCTATCAGCAAAACAATTCTGCAAACAATTCAGCAAAAAAAAAAAATGTTTGTTTATTACTGCTAGGAACCATTGTAAAAAGGTTTTGTCTAATGCCAAAGCCCGCTATTCTCAGATCATGAAATCTCGTATTTCAACACAAAAATTAGGCTCTCGTGACTTCTGGAGAATCTTTAATAGTATCAATAATAAGGGCAAGTCTGTAATTCCACCTCTTTTGTATGGTTCAGACTTTGTCACCTCACCTAAAGACAAAGCTGAATTGTTTGCTAAGAACTGTTCATCAATATTTCTTAATTCCACTAGTTGCATTCTACCTGATAAGCCATCAAACAGGTTGATCCATTGCTCGACATTCGTATCACTCCAGCTTCTGTATCTAAAGTGATTCCCCGCTTAGACTCTTCTACAGCTTGCGGCCCGGACAACATACCTGTTATAGTCTTGCAGAAGTGTTCTCCGGAGCTGTCGTCTATCCTTTCAAAACTATTTAACAAGTGCTTATCAGAGTCTTGTTTTCCAGCCTGCATCTGTTATCCCTATTTTTAAAAATTCTTGAGAGCGATCCAATTCGTCTAACTACCGTCCCATTAGTCTTCTTCCTATCATAAGCAAGGTTTTTGAATCTTTAATTTACAAACACTTAATCTCTCATCTCGAATCTCATAACCTACTTTCTGATTATCAATATGGATTTTGATCTTCTCGTTCTATGGCTGATTTGCTATCAGTAATAACCAATAGGTTTTATCGCGCATTAGATAAAGGTGGAGAGGTTAAGGCCATTGCTCTTGACATTTCTAAAGCGTTTGATAAAGTTTGGCATGCTGGTTTTCTCCATTAGCTTTCTTCTTACGGTGTATCTGGAAACATCTTTAAGATTATTGAATCCTTCCTTTCCAATCGTAGTATATAAGTTGTCCTTGATGGACAGCACTCTTCTTCTTATTCTGTAACCTCAGGGGTTCCTCAAGTTTCAATCCTTGGCCCTATACTCTTTTTAATTTACATTAACGATCTTCCAGATATTTTCACATCTAAGCTGGCATTGTTCGCTGATGATACTACCCTTTATTCTTGTCACAATAAGAAGCCAACTCCCTCTGATTGCTTGCAGGGGGCATCTGAGTTTGAAAAGGATCTCACTTCTGCTACAGCATGGTGCTCACAGTGGCTGGTGAACTTTAATTCAGATAAAACTCAATTTTTTCGGCCAATCGTTATCCCAATAGTTTAGACCTTCCTATATTTATGAACGGTAATGTACTCGATGAGTCTCCTACCCTTCATCTTCTAGGATTAACTCTCACTTCTGATCTTTCTTGGAAACCTTATATCAAATCCGTTGCAAAATTAGCATCTGCTAAAGTTGCATCTCTTTATCGAGCTCTTCACTTTCTTACTCTGGATTCTATTCTCTATCTCTATAATTCTCAAATCCGGCCTTGTATGGAATATTGTTGCCATATCTGGGGCGGATCTTCTAATGATGCCCTTTCTCTTTTAGACAAGGTGCAAAAACGCATTGTAAACATAGTTGGACCTGCTCTTGCAGCCAACCTTCAACCTCTGTCACATCGTCATAATGTTGCTTCTCTTTCTCTTTTCTACAAATACTATAATGGGCACTGCTTTCAAGAGCTAGCGTCTCTTGTGCCATCTACTAAAATTCGTTCTCGTGTTACTCATCATTCAATTAAGTCTCATCCTTTTTCTGTTACTGTTTCTAAGTGCTCCAAAAACTCTTATTCGTCTAGTTTTTTTCCTCGAACTTCAGTTCTTTGGAATTCGCTTCCTTCATCTTGCTTTCCTGATTCATATAATTTGCAATCTTTTAAGTCGTCTGTCAATCGTTATCTTGCTCTACAATCTTCATCTTTTCTCTTCCAGTAACTTCCAACACTAATTAGTGGTTGCTTGCAGCCTTGTTGGAAGCGAAGATAATAATAATAAAAAAAAGAGTAGAATACTCCTAGGAATTGATTCTCCTATTGATGCTCTTTTGCTTATAGACAAAAACAAAAAATTATTTAGTTGGATTTGCTCTAGCTACCAAACTGAGTCTGTTCTATTGTTATATATTGGTTTATGGTTACAACTCTTTTTCTACTATTTTCAATTAATTCTGTTGTCGTTATTCAAGCCATCAGCAACTCCTGGTATTATTTAAAAAGGTAAAATACAAGCTATCATTTAATAAAGATCTCGAACCAAAACTTTTCAACATCTCAAGATCTCTTCAAGATCCATCACCCAAAATTTAATATTGCATGTCTCATAATTCAGCAAAGTGACATCTGAAATAAATAAAAAGTTGTGAAAAAAAAAACAAAAAACGTGGTGTGTGTACAAGCTAACTTTGTAATCTTATTACAAGATATTTTTTAAAGGATTTAATATAATATTAAATTTTTTTAAAACTTTTTTTCTTGTTATGTAATAGTTATGTACTAATATGTAATAGTATAAAAATAACAAAATTATTAATAACTTAATATATAATCATTGATAGTTTTTTAAAATATTTAACATTGCAAGCTTTGCTTGCACAATTTATTTTTTATAGCTGTGTAACTGTTCCTTCATGCTTAAAAAACTTTTATTTGTTTAGTTTTTTTAAACATCAATGCTTCAAAATTCTTCTCTATTACCTTTGTGTTTTTCTGACTTATACAATTCACAGTTTTTTAAGTCTTTTACTGACCTGTTTTTTAACTCTTTAAATCTTTGCTTTGTTTTCTAACACTTAAACTCTTTTCTTTCTATTCTGTTAACTCCCAACCTAAGCTTGCAGCCTTTTTTAGTTTCCTTGTAGTTTTTTCAAACTTTTTCTATGAAACTTTTTCTTGAAATAGAAAAAATCATTATTTTTTTTTTAAAGTTTTTTTATTTTTATATCAGCCTCATCTAGAATTTAACCAATAGTTTTTAATCTTTTTTAAGGATTATTTTTATTTATTATATATTTTTTTTTTGTACAAAAAAATTGCTGAAAAGCTAATATTACATGCACTTTTACATACATAATTTTCTTCAGATAATCTGTTGCTTGTTTTTGCTGTAAAGAAATATACATTTTGATGGTCTTTGTCAACATTTTTTATTTGTAATAAATAAGTTTATTATTATTATTATTATTATTATTATTATTATTATTATTATTATTATTATTATTATTATTTTAATAATATTATTAATAGTAGTGATATTTGATTTTAGTCCTACGTCATTGTGAATTTGCAGGATAAGATCAATTTTTTGTTTTCATTTATCAAAAGTCATTTAAAAACAAAATGCATTGTTTTTATGTCAAGTTGCAAGCAGGTATTTGATTTTATCATTTTATTATTTATAAATAAGTTTTATTCTATAAAAAATTAAGTAAAAACCTTTTTCTTACAAACTAGTAATGCATACCAATAATCTTGGTATATAAAGTTGAGTGCTCAATATTTTAAAAAGAACAGACCAATAATGAAACAATGAAACTCATGTAAAATTAAAAAATTTGATGCATCAACTATATTATAGCCTGCTTCTACATCAAAAAAATTTATGGCATACCCTTGATATATTTGACATGCAATTTCCTAGAATGGTTATAGTTTAGGTGCCTTAATTAAGTGGTCTAATAATTTGACAAAAAAACAAATGTATGAGTTTCATTACTTTTTTTATTTAAGTTTTTAATTAAATTGTTAGCAATGTTTGTATTGAAATTTTATGGTTTAAAAACATTTTTTTAAATACTCAAGCAATAGTGGTGTATTGGGAGAGCGCTTCATAAGCGAGGCATAGTGGTGTAGTGGGAGAGCACTAGCTTCATAAGCGAGAGGTTCTGAGTTAAATCCCCACCATGTCCCTGGTAGTACAGTGCTCAACTTGTTTCTCCAGGTAGTGGCCTTGTATTTCAAGGTTTGTATTTCAAAGTTATAGAGTTGAGAGATGGTTATAACTACATTTAAGTAGCCTTCTTATCTGTAGTTAGGCCTTAAGAGGTGAATTAACATTAAAAAAATAGTAATAATAATAATAATTGCATTCCACTGACTTGTATGTATTTTTATTGGTTGATAAAAAAGCATATTTCGAACGGACTAAATTATGCAAAACAAAAGAAAGTTTCTTTATTTTGTATCCATGAAAACCAATTATTTAAAATTATATATAAATAGCATAGATGTGGGTAATAAATAAAAATCTTTTTTTTTTGATTAAAAAAATTGTTGTTTAAATACCATAAACATTTTCATAATAAACATTAATTTTTTAATTAGAATATAAAATTGTTTAAATCTTTTTTTTTTTTTCAAAAGTTTATATACATAGCATAAATTCAGTAATGAAAAAGAAATCTTTAAATTCCCTTAAATACAATGGAAGTTCCAATAGTGGATTGTGAAAGTGTTGTGCAACATTTTTTAAGCATTAATTTTTTTTGTTCTCATTCATAGTTGTGTCATTAGCAAATAAATAAAAGTGAGATTATCAGCAAGATTAATGTAGATAAGGAACAACACAGGATGAGGAACAACACAGGATCAAGAATGGAAGCTTGTGGTGCCCAGTGGTTATTGAGTTATTAGTGGCTTGTAGTTATTATAAAGATTTTTTCCATCATGGATAATTTCAATACTAAGCTAGAAAAGGAAGGTTCAATTAGTTAAAAACTTATCCAGATATACCATATTAAGGAAGTTTTAGAGCAGACCAGCATGTTAGAAATTATCTTTGGTATGTCAAGAGCAATAGCCCTTGCATCACTGCTTACATCTTATGCTAATAGAACCTTTTTGTTATAATAGTTAACAAGAAGAACAAAAGGATTGAAATCTGTATCAATTGTCAGTAAGTTGTAGACTCAAGATGAGATATTAAATGTTTGTTCAAAGTTCAAAGGTTTTGGTAATGATTGAAGGAAGACTGATTGGGCAATTGGGTCTATTTTTTTAAATGTTGGTATCACATTTTCCAACACACAGGAAAACAATAATGATAATAAATAATAATCATAATCATAATATAAACATCTTGTTAATTAGTTAGAGAATTAAAAAGAATTCTAGAGTACACTTTTGTAAGAAAGTTTCTTACAAAAGAATCCAGATGACTAGCTGAAGAAGAGTTTAAGTGCGAAACAACAAGAAGCCACAGAAGCAGGAGTGATTAACATGTTTAATCACTCCCAATGTTTCTCTAAGATGACAAAAAAAGTGTGGTTATTGAATCAAGTAATGAACTAAGTGAAAAGTCTTTAAAATTTTATAAGAAGCAACATCAAAGAGTCCATGAAAATAATGGAGTGTAGAGTTTTTTTTGAGAAAAACAAGAAAGGATTGAATAAAGATGTAATATATTTTAATTTTTTAGAGAATACTCTAAATATTATTTTAATATATTAAAATAATATTTAGAGTATTCAATTCTGATTTCATGACAAATTAGTGAAGTTATATTTAAGTATATGACAAGGCCAAGCACATTGGAGTCTTTATGTATCAAAGGATAATCACCAAATTAAAAAAAAATAAACTAGAATTTAAATTAGTTTTACAAAAACAAGTAGGTCAGGTGAATTTTGATTTAACAAGTGTTACTTCAATGACCATGAATATTTGTAAAAGATAGATTGAAACAATTTGGTAATAATGTTTTTTTGAAAACTATCTTTATAAGAAAATCGCAGAAAAATTTGCTTAGCCATTACCAATTACCAATTAAAGGGACTACCAAGTCCCGGACATGTTGTGTTCATATTAAAGATGATGTTATAAAAAAAACGTCTGAGCAAATTTTTTTGATTAAAACTAATTAATAAATGTATGCCAAGAAAAACAAATCTTGTTGTTTTAGTTGAAGCTTGTCTTCTCCATTTTCTGCGGTATTTGGAGTCTGTAAAATAAACGCGATTTTCCAGGCGCATTATACAGACTTGATAATTTATTCAAGTGCGTTTAATTCATAGAAGTTTTAGTACATGATATCATTGGAAACATTCTAGAATTTCTTTAAAAATTTTACAATCAAATTTTAGTAAAATATCTAACTCTAGTTAGTTATTTTATTTTCTAAAATCTTCACATTAAAAAAAACTTTGTTTTTTGTAGCTACATGGGCCATGGTGATGGTGGACCTAGGGACTCTATGGCGCCAAATCGAGTTATATAATATCTCTGATGATTCACAAGTGTGTTCTTTACATTTTGATGCAAGTGTGTTCTTTACATTTTGATGCAAGTGTGTTCTTTACATTTTGATACACATTGTAAATATAGTTGGATCTGCTCCTGCAGCCAACCTTCAACCTCTGTCACATCGTTGTAATGTTGCTTCTCTTTCTCTTTTCTACAAATACTATAGTGGGCACTGCTCTAAAGAGTTAGCGTCTCTTGTGCCATCTACTAAAATTCATTCTCGTGTTACTCATCATTCAATTATGTCTCATCCTTTTTCTGTTACTGTTCCTAAGTGCTTTAAAAACTCTTACTCGTCTAGTTTTTTTCCTCGAACATCAGTTCTTTGGAATTTGCTTCCCTCGTCTTGCTTTCCTGATTCTTATAATTTGCAATCTTTTAAGTTGTCTGTCAATCGTTATCTTGCTCTACAATCTTCATCTTTTCTCTTCCAGTAACTTCCAACACTAATTAGTGATTGCTTGCAGCCTTGTTGGAAGCGAAGATGTTTTTTTTTTAAAAAAAAAAAAAAAAAAGTTGTTTCGACAAATCTAACGAACAATTAATTAAACCAAGCATTAGGAAAAGATATAAAAAATAAGAATATACTAATAAAATATATAATTTGTAATTAACTTTCAAAATTTGACAATTTAAAAAATATATATTATAAAACATTTATTTTTGTAAACAAATGATAATAGTTTAAAAGATTTACGGCTTTACAAGTGGCTCCGAGTTTGCGAATATTCTTTTTATTCTTCTGCAAGATGTTTTAAGAACATTCAAGTTAATTATATTTCTTTGTATGTCCGTAAAAAAATTAATATATATTAATTTTTTGATTTTTAAGCCCCCGTCATAATATATATTGGATGTTATAATAATGGAAATATAAATAATGAAATAAGATCACCTCAATACCAAAAAATACATTTTTGAAAATCAGAGAAAAAATGCATTAATAATTTTTTTTATTATTTACTAAGTAAATTAATAAACGTGCATTATTATTTAGGTTAAAATTTTTTTTATCTAATATTTTGAAAGAAAAACTTTTAACAAAAGAAATCAAAATACATGTGGTCTAGACGATTATTTATTAAGTTTGCGCAAATAAAATACTATTTTGTTTTTAATTTTTTTACAAACACATTTTAGAATTTTAAAATATAATGAAAATGAATATGATTTGGAAATCGCATGTAAAAAATAATAATCGGTGTTTTAAACAAACAAACAAAAAAATCTATGATGTCATGTACTAAAACTTCTATGAATTAAACGCACTTGAATAAATTATCAAGTCTGTATAATGTGCCTTCGAAAATCGTGTTTATTTTACAGACTTTAAATACCGCAGAAAATGGAGAAGACAAGCTTCGACTAAAACAACAAGATTTGTTTTTCTTGGTATACATTTATTAATTAGTTTTAAAAAAATTTGCTCAGACGTTTTTTTTTAACATTTTCTTTAATATGAACACAACATGTCTCGAGACTTGTTAGTCCCTTTAAGTACAAGCAAAAAATGAGTAAATTCAAGAAGATTCAGTTTCAGGCCTTGTTTTAAAGCGTTACGCCTAGAGCGATTTACGTACGCCTTAAGCGATTTTTACGTACGCGTAGAGCTGTTTTGGTTAAGCTACTTTTTATCATTTTTTAACTTTTAAATTAGCGGTAACATAAAAGAAGTAATTAATTTTTAAAAAAACCACATTAACTTTTAAATAACGATATGTAAAGATATTAAAAAAAAGAATTTACTTTAAAAATAATTGTTGTAACTTTTCATCGCAATATATCTTTCCTTTTTATAGCAATTAATTTGACGCTAAACTTTTTATCCAAATATTTAGCAACATGAAAAATTGTTTGTCAATCCTTAACTACAAATTTTTTGCAATGTTTTTAATAAAAAGTAGTAATTTTTTAAAGTTTTCAGTAAAAAACTTTTAAAAAATCTATATTCCATATTTATTAATACAGAATATAAATGTTTTTTGTAATATAGATTTTTTAAGAACTTTTTACTGAATTTATAATAAAAAACATTTGTTAAAAAATTTGTAATTAAGAATTGACATTTTTTTTAATATCTCAAAAAATGTCTTAATATTTTTGTTATCATAATAACAAAAATATCAAGACATTTTTTCGAGATAATAAAAAAAATTTCTTTGCTTTTCTTATTAGGTACAATAAGAAAACATCCGCTGATGACACTAATATTACGTTGAATATATTTATATAACGAAGGTTTCATTATGCACGCGCACATTACAAGTTCCGTTAAATAAATACTAAGGCACGTTTTAGTTTAATGACAGTCTCCATTATTTTACTAATGAATATGTTTTTTTCTTTATAAAACAAAACAAACTAGTATATAAAAACCTTGTATATTTCTATTATCTCTAAATTGTTTAAAGTTCGAATATGGATTGTATTTTGAAGGATAAAAGATTCACTTTAAAAACTTTTAAATCTTGGGACTTTGCCGATGCTTTGCCGATGCGATGATCACAGAAAAAGAGAAGACTTACATTATTAAAAACAAATGTAAGTTATGTGATCTTCATCAAAATAAAATATTATCCAAAAACAATGGTGCCGTAAGGGCAACTGCCCAACGGTTTATAAATAACACAAGTCATGTTAAAATATTTTAACATGTTACTATATTTTAATTAAGTTGATATATAATTAAAAATAAAAATATAGTTCAATAAATAAATTAAATTTGTTCTTAACAAAGATTACCTCATATTTATTCTTTTTTTATTTTATTAAGTTTTGCTTACAAACGAAAAAAAAAAAAGAGTTTTGTAATTATACGTAGAATGAAAATACTTTTGAGTTTGTTTATAAGTTAAGGAACTTAATTTTTAATAAACAAATTTCTTATAAACAGATACGATTCAAATTATTAAATATACTTAAATTATTTCAGTTGAGTATTTTTTTAAGTTTGCACGATTAAAATTTTGCGTAGAAGTATTTGTTTTTTTGTTTTAAGAATAATTAACAAAAGAGTTTGCATAATTAAGACTTTTATATTTAATTTAATTTTTTTTTAATTTCCTAAAATTAAAAAAAAAAGATTTAATCGTTAAAAACGATTTTTCTCTATAGCTCTGTTTCTTTGTGATTCGTTTAAAAAGTAAAATATTTTTACAATAACATAAAAAATTTATGAATTAAATTCCTGGCGAACGCGTTCTAAACTATGTATCAAAAATATGCTCAAAGCAGACAAAACTTTTTTATATTTTTATAAAACGCAAGTTGAAACGCTAAACAAGATAAGTTTAAAAAGAATTTAAAAACCTAAATTTTTCTTTGCTTGTCAAAACAAAATCGTTTTTTAAATAATTAATATGGATTTGTGTTTATCAATGTTAATATTTTTTGTTTACTCTAGAAATTTTTAAAAATAAAAAAAATCATTATTTTTTATTCAATAACGATTAAAAACAATTATTCAAAAACAAATTTCAGAAATAATTAAAATATATATATATATATATATATATATATATATATATATATATATATATATATATATATATATATATATATTTTACTAAATAATATTGAACTAAAATTAATAATAAAATAACAATTAAAAACATTACAAAATTTTCATAATAAATTTACATTTAAAACGTTTATAGTTATTTGAGTTAATTGTTAAATTGAACTAGTTTGCGGTTATTTATTTATTGCGGTAGTTAAAACACTTAACGTCTATAAAAAAAATAAAGATAATTTTATGACGTCAAAATTGCGTTAAGCTAATGCTTGAAGAATGTAAAATAAAAAAAAACATAGAATGTAAATTTTAGTTTCAAATGAATGTAAAATTGTTTTGTAATTTTTATTAAAGAAGTTTTTTTTTTTTAATAGTTTGCTAACTAATTCATTGCATAAAGTATAAGTCATCACTATTGTTTATCATAGATTATTTTAAAAAAAAGGAAATAGAAAACCTTTTTTTCTTATAAAAATAGAGAAGTGCTTTTGTTTAAGAGAATTCTTTTCACAAAAGTATTTTTTGCTTATTATTAATTCAATATGGTATACTTTTACAGCAAAAACTTTGCTGTAAAAGAAAAAATGCAAAGGGTTAGTCTAGATTTGAGCAAAGTCACTAAATAAATTTGAGAATCAGTTAAATAAAATTGATTTTTTTTCTGAGTTTAAAAAATTTAATTAGTAAGCTACTAAAATAATTCACTCTGTGTACAATTGCTGTGTATGCAGCGTTTCCTCCTAAATTGCAAGATACTTCAAAAATTGCTGATAAAACCAGTCAAGTGCAATGTTTTTCCTTGTTTTTTCCAATGTTGATTCTAGTTGACAAGTGGTCATTAAAAGCATTGTTTTATTTGTTATTCAAAATACAATAGCTACTAATAGCAATAATAGATACAATAACTGTAAATATTGTAAATACAATAAATAGATACAATAGCTATAAATATATGTAATGGAGATGCAATTCTAATTGAAAAATAAGTTGGTTATCTCCAGTCTGACTTAAATGTAGACACTATATTAAAATGTTCTTCATAATGACTGTGTTCAATATCTGTGTGTTTGTACAAATCACCAAGAGTACAGTTGTTTAAAAGGTTCAAAGTAGATTTTCATAGTTTTAATCAGAATATAAAAAAACATAGAGTGTGGACTTCTGATCAAAGTAGTTATTTATTTCAACAACCATTTAAAAAATTGGAATTCTTGGAGAAATACCAGTTCTGTTTATTATGCATAATGGATTTCAAAAGCCATTATGCATGGTAAAATAAGTTTCCATAACCCTATCAATTACTTTGTAACAACTGAAAGACAACAAAACACAAGAGTTAGAGAAGAGATATTAAACAAAGACTCAAAGAATAAAACAATCAGACAACTTCTTTAAAAAAAGAATATCTTATGATTGAAACACCTTGCCACAATATGTATTAAGTTCAGTTATTCAATTATAGGGAACTAATAAAATAGTACTATATAAACATTATTGAAAACACATATTCATATCATTAACATTAAAACATTGACATTTTTTAAAACAATCTTAAAAAAAATCAATTTGCTTTATAAAAGATGTCATAGATCAAAATTTTACAAGATTTTTGTTTCAATTCATTGAGTTACATCATATGTATATGTATATTATTTATATTATATACTGCATATTTTTAAAAAAAATCAAAAAAGTTAAACATTCTCATAGTTTTTTGAGTAATTTTTAAATATATGGTTTCAATGTGGGAAGTGGTTAGATAAAAATGAGGGAAAATCATATTTTTATTTTATAATTAAAAGATATTAATTTTAAAATATTAACTGCTCATTAAAATTTCTTTATGACAGGTAAAGTTTATATATGAAGTTCTACGCAAAATTCGACCTGGGGTTCCATTAATGGCATTATATGGAAAACAAAAACAACTAAAGCGAGTTGGTGTTTATTCTAAGTTTTGTCAATCAAAGGCTGCCATTCTTTTTGCAACAGACATAGCTGCCCGAGGTTTAGGTAAAAGTTAATTTAGTTGATTGAATATATAGTTGACTGCTTAATTAAAAGATGTTATTTTAAGGCATAAAAAAAACACATTTTACTTAAATACATGTTTGGTGTGAGGTTTGCATTTAAAACTTTATTAAAAAGTTTAGTTCAACATGTAATGATGATAAGATAAATATATGTAATTTATGGACAGAGGTTGTGTTTAAACCATTTTCAATTTCAAAACCTTTTCCATACAATGGTTATTCAAGTCTTACTAAATGTAAAATAAGAAAACTAAAAAATAATAAAATTAAGTAAATAAATAATAATAATAAAAGTATATTCAATTTTAGCAAATAAAATAAAACCAATCAACTCTCTCTATAATAGAAAGTGATTAACTTTTTGTTATAGATAGGGGATTTACAAATGTTCCATAGTTTTAGTATTTGCAAAACTAGAGGATTGTTTTGATTTATAATAAACTATATTTTTATGAAAGTTACATGAATATTTATGAATAACAGTTCTCTAAAATTAAGTGTAAATGTAAATCCCCACCCAGTATATTAAATATATATATAAATAAAATTAAGTGTAAGTGTTGTAATGTATATATATATATATATATATATATATATATATATATATATATATATATATATATATATATATATATATATATATATATATATATATATATATATATATATATATATATATATATATATATATATATAACAGTAAAATCATTACAATCAAATACTTAATTTTAAAATCAAAAATTAAATGAATATGTTGGTTGGTTTTTATTGATTACATATTAATATAAACTTAATGTTTATTTGTTTATATTTTTTAATATTTAGTTATATTTACTTTTTAGTTTTTTTGTTTTATAAGTTTATTTTAAAATTTGAATACCAACTGCTAATAATTTTTTTTTGCAAGGTTTTGAATTGCAACTTAAATTTTATGTTTTTTAGCTTCTGTTTTAGCTAATTTTAAACTTTTTGCTTTCTCTTTATTATTGAGATATCATTCATAACAAGCTTTCTAATGTTTTCTGTTTTTTCAATTAACTAGCAATATGTTATAATATGCTAATAACTATATGTTAATATATAATATGTTTTAAGTAAAACAAAAATTTTTTCAAGGCAGGGCTCGTTTTAGTGAGTTGGGTGCTGCAAATTTAATTCTCAATTGTCATTATATTCAGTTGATGAAATGGTTGACCATCATATTAGAATGGTTGACCATTACATTTACATGGAATGGTTAATTTTAGTCTTTAATTTTTGGTTTACTTTTATTCTTTTATTCCAGGTAGTTTTATTCCATGGTTTTACTTGAAGTTAAACTTTTTGTATTTTCTTTAAAGTTATATTCAAACATTTCATTTGTAGTAATTTCCATAAACATTGAAAGTTTTTTTTTTTTAATTTTGTTTGAGATGCTAAACATTGCTGCCTGTTGTCAAATTATTAATTTTTTCTTTAGTTTTTTTTTATTGTGTTTACAATCTCATAGGAGAATTATTAAATATCATAGTTTGATTACTTTAATATAAGCAGTAGGTTTTAAAATCAAACATCATTTTACTTAGATTTAACATCAAGAATCGTTTTTAAAACAATTTTTAGTTTATTTTAGATTTTCCATCTGTTAACTGGGTAATTCAAGTTGACTGTCCAGAATCAGTAGATACATATATTCATCGAGTTGGAAGAACAGCTCGGTAAGAAAATGTTAAGCTAAGATATTTTTTTTTTAGTTAAAAAGTTTTTATTTTTGATATACTAACTCTATAAAATTTAGAATTATGCATTCCATAAGAAACTTTTTGTTTCAGTTGTTTTTTTAATCCTTTTTTTTTAAATGTTTAAATGTGACCACAAGTCTTATTTTTAAAAATGTTTTTAAAAAAAAACATCTTAATCCAGCAATAATGTAAATAAGCATCTAAATTTTACAGAATCTCTAAGCAACAAATGTAACCATAATATTTTAAGGCATGATTAACCTAAATATCTTATGTCATTCTAGTCCATATAATATGGTAAAATCGAAAAACTGTTTATTTTGTTAAAGTACAAACATCCAACTATAATCCATGTTCGATTATCTACAGGTGAGAAACCTATTTTGGTAAAAAACTGTTTGTTTTTTGGTAAAAAAACTGTTTGTTTCTAAATATACTATAGATGGTCCTTATTTTTGTCACTCTTGAAATATAAAATTAACTGTGTGAAGTTTGTTCCTTAATTACATCAAAAGATGTTGACAGTAGTGCAGTAGAAGAAATGTATGTTATTCATGATAGTTCAAATATAAAATCTGCAAGAGAAGAAAATGCTCTTACTGTTGAAACATACAGAGATCAATCACCTATAATGCTCTTCCTGTTGAAACATACAGAGGTCAATCACCTATAATGCTCTTCCTGTTGAAACATAAAGAGATTACCTATAAGGTTGATAAAAAATAAAATCATACTAAACTTGATAATAAATTATGAATGTCCTTGATGTATTTGCAAATAGTCCTTTGAATGGAAGTTTATTATCAGATTTCAACTTAAAAATAAGCAGATCTCAATAAGCAGAAGAATCTTAGTGTTAAATCAGGACAAACATCTGAAGCAGTGTGTAAAAGCCTAAACAGGACACTGATAAGATTTATTGTGTCTGAGAAAAACATTAATCGTGGTGAAATGAAAAATTTAAGAACTTTTGTTGTGCAATACATTTTCAAAAGATTAAGAATATGTCGCACTCCCACTCCTATTGTATTTTTTTTTTTTTTTTTTTTTTTTGCACTCCCACTCTTATTGTGTTTTTGTTTTGTTTTTCGCATTCCCACTCCTATTGTTTTTTTTTGTACTCTCACTCCTATTGTATATATATTTTTTTGCACTCCCACTCCTATTGTATTTTTTTTTTTTTTTTTTTGCACTCCCACTGCTATTGTATTTTAAGATTTTTAATTTTTAACATAAAAAAAATAATTTAAAGTCCACGAATATAGCATGAAGTCAGCCAAATCACAAATATGGATATTTTTAAAATATAAAACCAACATAAGTTAATGAAGTTAAACTTATGTTAAAAGAAATGTAATTAAAAATTTTAAATAAAAAAAACTACAAAATAATTTTTTAAAGTGTATTATTATTTTTGTAATTTTAGTTTTGAGAAAAATGGTGAAGCAATATTAATGTTATTACCATCGGAAACTGCCATGGTGAAGGTATTACCTCAATACTTTTGTTTTAATTTAATAGTTAAAGTTTTTGTTTTATTTACAGTTTTTAACTGAGTTTACTTAAAAGAAGTTAAAATTGTTTAGAAGTTACTTGATGGAAAGGTTCCTTTGGAGGAAATTAAGTATGTTGGTTATATTTTTTATATTTATTAATATTTTTATAAGTTGGTTAAACGATTTTTAGTAAGGGGTTAATGTTCATTTTTCTCATTATCATTAAACTACACTCTTTAATAAGATGTCAAAAAAATTTAAATTTTATTAAAAATAACAAAAACAACTTAAATTCCATAAAACTAATAATTGTATATATATATATATATATATATATATATATATATATATATATATATATATATATATATATATATATATATATATATATATATATATATATATATATATATATATATATATATATATATATATATATATATATATATATATATATATATATATATATATATATATATATATATATATATATATATAACACAGAAAATATAACTTTTGATGGTACTAATAGTCTTGAGTCCAAATGTCTTGGTCTTAGTCTTTTACTTGACCTTCACACTCTTGACTACCTCTCTACTTGTGTCACAACAAAGTGTTAACAGTTTTTCCACAACTAGTTACAGAAGCAATCTGAAAAATTATAAAAAATAATTCAATTTTCAATACAAAAAAATATTTTTTTTGTTGGAATACCATAATTCACCACGCTCATTATCATTGTCATCATTAATGTCATCATATAGTCATTTTAAAAAATTACAATTATAACTATATTGTAAAAATCACGTTGTAAAAATGCAAATGCAATCACATTAGCATTGTAGATTTCAGTTCTATCTTTTTTTTCCTCTTTTTCCTTGTATATTTTTTTACTTATGCAACACAATGATTGCAAAAAGTGACCAACGGAGCCATCCAGTTACGTAGACCTGGGAGATGTGAAAATAAAAACAGATTGAAGTTGATGTCATTTAGGTAAAAAAGCATAAGACTATTTAGTAGGAGGAGTAAAAGTTAGCAACTCAGGAAGAGAGGAACCAAAACTCACACTCTAGTCATCTTTTAGCAAATGATAAAACAATGATCTATGAGCAACAAGTCAATAAAAATTCGCTGGTTTATTAAAGGGATCCCAAATTCCCAACACATGTTGTGTTCATATTAAAGATAATGTTAAAAAAAAGGTTTGAACCAAGTTTTTTTGATTAAAAAATAAATAATGAATGCATACCGAGAAAAACTAATGTTGTTGTTTTAGCCGAAGCTCGCCTTGTCCATTTTTTTCAATAACTTGGAGTCTTTAAATTATACGTTGCAATCTACAGACTTTGGCGATTCCTTTGAAGCGCATTTAATTCATAAAAGTTTTAGCATTTGACGTCATGGTAGGTTTTTAACAAAAAACAATGCTTCGTTTTTCTACTTTAATTCAAAAAGTACGATGTAGTAATTTTTTAACATACAGCAAAACAACTTTTACAACAAATTTTTGTAAAAATCAAAAGTAATAAAAGCTTATTATTTCATAGGAGGAACTTTTTTTTTACCGATATCTTCATAATTTTTAGATTTATATATCTTACTTATATTTCTTATAAGCTTTAATATTTGTTTTTAAATTAAAACAAATATTAAAGCTTTACTTACGAATCCTATGATTTTCATACGAGTGCTTTACATTATATAGAACGTTATGTATACGATCTCTTGTTTTAGTGCAAGAGAGCGCAGTATTATATTTTCTGAATCTTCCTTATTTTTATTTAAACAACGGGAACTTTTTTCTAACTTCTCTGGTTATTTTTACGCTATGATATTTTTGTTTTCCCGTCGAAAAAAAGTATTTATTAATAATTAATTTCATAAACTGACAATATTAATTAGAGATATTTAATGAATTGTTAACTTTTTTGATTATAAAAATTTTTTGATTACACTGATTTATTTAAATTGCTGAATTGGATACGGATAAAAAGGAAATATCATTTTATTTTACATTTGATTTTTGATAATGAAACTTTTAAAATGTCGGCAACTCCATACCAATTAGAACCTGTTAAGGTTATGAAAAAAAAGTACAAGAATACACTAAACAATACAGTTGACCGTAGTATCAGATATGAAAATTCGTGAAAGGATATGTGAGATCCTGGTTTTGCATTAAAAATACAATTAATAGCAACACAAGTTGGCATTACAAATTTTGATTATAAGTTTGCTGTTCAATATTTTATTACCATCAAATAACAAACATGAAGTTTGTATATTTTCGCCCGTTTTATGCAACTAATATTTACAAAAATACGGACAAATTATTATTAAATAACGCAATAATTAACACATTATTTAATGGCAATAATTCAAGATAAATGGTAAGTTAAATTGTCAAAATGCGTTAAAAAACATATATTTGGTATTTTCCAATTTGCGTCGTATTTGTCTCTTAACATGAAAAGTTAAAAAAATTTAAAAACACAACAAATACCAATTTTCAAGCAACTTTCTCTTCCAATTTTCATTTTTTCAAAGCTAAGTTACTATTAAACTTTTATTTCTCTTATCTAAAAAAAGAACGAGTGACGCAAAGAAAAAAAAAATATTCTATACAACTCTTATTCATTCGAAGTTTAATTAAGGTTGGTTTCCATATATCTAAAATGGTCGTGCGACAGTTGTGCGACTGTCGCAAGACAGTCACGCAATCATATGGAAACATAAGTCGTGCGACAAGTTTTGTCTTGCAAGACTGTTTTATAGTCGTGCCATAGGTGTCGCAGAGATAGAAAAAATTCTCTACAATTGTCACACGACCCTACAATGCGATTGGTTGAATATTAGAAAACGAAATATTAATTAAAACAAAAAAAATTCACATCGAAATAAAATGGAAAATAATCAGGAAAGATTTTAGTAAAGAGAGTTTCATGCAGGAAGTAAAGAAATATCCTGTACTATATGACAAGTTCGATACAGAATTTAAGAACAACGTTATTAAAAAAAATGTTTGGGCAGCAATAAGAGTTTCGTTTGGTTTAACTGACCAAGAGTGTGAATCGAAATACAAAAATATTAGGTCCGCTTATGGTCGCTTTTCGAGGAAAAAAAAGTAAACCTTCGGGTCAGGACGAATCAATATCAGCAAAGAGTATGATTTTTTGCAATGTTTAAATGTGTACATTGATCATAGAGAAATAATTTCGACAAATCTTGGAGATAAAATAGCAATAGAGATACAAAACAACAATAACAGAGATATAATAAAAAATGTTGAAGAATTACCTTTGTCATGTATAAGTGATGAAAATATGAATTATGATGAAGAATTAAGTAATCAGGAAGAATTAGAAAAAGAAACTTTTAATGACAATACAAGTCTGTTAACTTTGTCTAATTCATGTAGGCCAAGTACATCTAGTAATCAACAAAAATCTTTAAATGAAATAACATCTCCTATGAATATAAGAAAAAAGAATCTGATAAAAAAACTAGAAGATGCAATACTCACTACTATGAGCAATATTAATGCAACATTAGGAGTTAGTTACTTGAAGAAAATGATGACATTACATATTTTTGTAAATCTATTTGTGCAACAATAAAGAGATTACCTCCTAAAACTCAAGCAGTTGCTAAAATAAACATTCAGCAATATTTAACTGTTCAGGAATTTCCAGATATTGTTTCATGAAATATAATTTGTTAACATTCTTCTAAAAACTTTCAACATTTTGTCATATGTAATTTTTAAATAGTAATTTAATATATTAATACAACAATATATTATTAAAACAGAAGAATGTGTTTTTTTCACTATTGGAAAAAAATTTGCTTTCTTGTTATATTGTGCCTACAACTAGTTACATAATTATGTTGCCATGACAAGGATCCACTTGGATGATTAAAATATTCTGTTAGCGTTAATCTCACAGTGCTAGCATCTGTTGTGTATCAATTGCTTATACATCGAGGTAAAATGTTTAAAGCATTACCATCAAGCACAATTTTTCTCCAGTCTCCAGGAATAAGTTCACCAGAATTTGTTTCTAAATTAGCAAATCCAGATGGTACATAGTGAATGCTGTCATTGAGTTTTAAGTAATTATGTAAACAAATTGCAGCTTTTATGATGTTTTCAATATTTTTAGGGGTTGCTTTTATTGGACATCTAAATATTCTCCATTTAGGTAACATAATTCCGAAGGAGTTTTCAATTGTTCTTCTAGTCCTAGATAATCGATAGTTGAAATTACGTTCTTTGATTGTCAAGTTTTTACCAGAAAAAGATTTCATTAACCAAGGTTTTATTGCTAAAATATTATCACCAACTAGCACTGGTGGTACTTGAGTGCCATTTGATAGCTGTCAGTTTTTGGGAAGTTTGAACAAATTATATTTGAAAGCTTTACCCATTTTACTTTCATTAAATATAGATGCATCATTATCTCTACCATAGCTACCTATATCTACCAAAGTAAAGCAGTATTTTGCATCACATATGGCTTGCAAAACCATGCTATGATAATTTTTGTTGTTGTAGTAAGCAGATCCACTTGAAACAGAAGCTTCAATACATACATGTTTGCCGACTATTGCCCCAATGCAATTAGGAAAATTCCACTCATTTTCAAATTCATTTGCTATTTTTTCCCATTCATCTGAACTTTCTGGTGCCTTTAAATAACTTGGTTGCAAAACATCCCAAATAGCCTTTGTTGTTTCATTGATTATGCTGCATACTGTTGTTGTGTCCAGTCTAAAATAAAAAGATTGTGTTTGTTGTGAATCCCCAGTAGCCAAATATCTCAGAGTCACAGTCAATCGTTCTGAAGGTGATATAGTTTGACGGCTTTGACAAGATTTTTTTGTTATGCTAGGTGCAGCCATTGACAGCAAGTGTTTATACCTTTCAGGAGACATTCTGTAAAATCTATAAAAAAATTCTCTGTCATGAAGACGTAGCTCAGGAATTAGTGTGTTAAATGCTCCTTTTTCGCAATGATTTCTAAATAATGAGTGTATTCAAAATTTGTGTTTTCTTTTTTTCTTTATTCTTATTATATATATATATATATATATATATATATATATATATATATATATATATATA